TTTAAATACGTTGCATCAAATTTCGTAATTATATCAAATGCAGTCTCACACTTGTGTGAATGTATTCCAATTGCTTGTTTGTTATGGTGCCGTAAATGTAATTTGTAGCTTGTATATCCTTTTCCCATTTTTCCACGTCATCATTTTCACACTGAACCACATCTTTACACTTTTTAAATTGAAGAAATTTCATCATACGCACTTTCCAATTAAAATAGTCCGAACCATCAAATAGCGGTATGCCGATATCGCTGCTTCTTGTACATGCCATTTCTACGCTAGTACCAGTAACTTTAAAAAAAAATTATAACTACTGAATTCTTCATTCATATTCACCAACCACGAGAACTGCTACCATGTTAAATAAATCGATATCATATGAAGAAGCAAATCGAAAAATAAGAAACGTATCTTTTCACATTTTTTATTGAAACTTAACAACACGTGCACAACATTACGTCGGCATCCATAGCTCGCACACAGAGAATAGAGAACTTGGTGTTGCCAATACGGTAAATATAAATGTAACAAACTAACAGGGTAATTCTTTACAGGACAATATGACTTCACTAAAAATTTTGCACTCCGTATTTTCACCTTCAGATAGAGCTTCTGCCCTCTCCCACCACCCGAATTTGGATCCCTGCGTCCCTCTTTGCCCTTCGGAAAATATGGTCACCTTATTATAATTATCTTTCATTTAGACTATCCTAATATGTTTATGAATTATTAAAAATCTCAATCTACATCAGTTTTATTTTATATTCTAGTCCTTCTGAATATGCTAATTTTCTTTTTTGTTTTTTCACTTCTGTACTGTTAAAAACTAAAATTCAGTTTCAAGAACTTGCAAATGTGAGCAAATTCCTTAGCGAGTACAAAAACTACATACATATATATACGTACTAAAGATAGTTATTTCAGGCATGCAGATGAAATTAAATACGTATATAAAGAAAATATTTAAATTGATTAGTAATATTGTTGTTATATAAGAATAAAATATAAATATGCTACTATTAAATAAGTAAACAAATAAGTTTCAATTGATTTTTCCTGCCAATTTCTACCAACTCTCTAAATCCACAGAGAATACCATCATTTTTAAAATTGTACTTTACCCTGATGCAACTAACACTATACAAGCAACTTTGGTTCATTGGGAAATTTTCTTTTATGTCTGCCCCCTGTATATAAAAAGAGAAAGTGATTAAAATTAAAGTTCCACTTTTAAAAGACTAAAAAAAGTATCACTGATCTGAATGATCGGAATATATACTCATGTCCATAAATTAAGGATAATTCGGAGTCACGCGGATATCGAACTCTAAAATAAATATATCGCCTGCAAAATCACTACACACATCTTCAAGAATCATTTGCAAATTTCAGGAAGTAACCAGATGACACCGATGGTACGTCACAATGACGAGAGTGTAAGAGAGTGATATATACGGAATACAGGCAAAGAAGGAAAATTTTTCACAGCCGCTTTATAAGCATTTCAGTGCAATAACCCAATAGTTATGACACAAAGGATGCATTTGGAGGATTTTTTACGTGGTAGAATTATCGGCCGTCTGGAATGTGGGCGTACCCAACTGGAAGTATCAGACAAACTTTGAATTGCCCAGAGTGTCATCTCCAGGCTCGGCAACGATTCCAAGATGATGGTAATGTGAGTAGACGTTACAGCACAGGTTGCCCCAGAGTTACAACGCTGAATGAGGACTGGTATTTGGCAGTTACTGCCAAAAGAAACAGGCCAAGCACAGCCTCAGACCTGTCTCGTCAGCTCTCTTCAGATACTGGTATGACAATTTCAAGGCAGACCGTGTACAGACGCTTAGGGCAGATTGGTCTATATGCTAGTAGACCTGTCAGATGCGTTCCTCTTACTGCAACTCACTGTCGCCTGTGGTTAGCCTGGAGTAGAGAGCATGCATCGTGGACACCGCAACAGTGGACTTGTGTGATGTTTTCCGACAGGTTTAGCTTGCAGTCTGATTCTCGCCGGACTTTCATATGTAGAGCTCCAGGTACCCTACCAAGAAAACATCATTGAACGACATAGTTACGGTGGTGCAGGAGTGCTTGTTTGGGGTGGGATTATTCTGGGTTCCAGAACTGATCTGCATGTTCAAATTGGAACCATGACAAGCCAAATCTATCGGGACATCATTCTGGAACAACATGTACGTTTGTTTCGGGATGCCATAGGCCCACTATTTGTGTTTATAGATGACAACGCCCGTCCTCAACGTGCAAACATCATAAGCGAATGCCTTCAATCGGAGTATATCACCCGTATGGACTGGCCAGCATTCTCACCGGACTTGAATCCAGTAGAGCACGTGTGGGACATGCTTGGCCGACGAGTTGCAGCCTGTCAACCTCCTCTTACATGTCTACCGGAACTTCGGAGAGCATTGCTTTTTGAGTGGTGTAATATCCCCCAAGATCAGATCGATAATTTGATACTCAGCATGCCTAGGCATTGTACGGACTGTATTGCATTGTCTGGGAGGCATACAATGTATTAACAATCATACCAACAATGTAATATTGGTTTTTTGTAAATAGGTTTTTTTTTTGTAATTTGCTCCAGGGAGAAAAAATCGCTATTTTTTTAATAATATCAAACATATAGCATCTTTTTTTGCTCTTTACCTTTTGTTTAATAAATAAGCTTTACAAATAAGTCAAATTTGTTTTGCTTCTAACTCTTCCTTTGCCTGATTTTGCATTATCCTTAATTTATGGACATGAGTGTATATGATGCAATGGGAATTTGTCCGGTGAAAGAAAGAAATAAGTCAGATTTTATCCATCCCCAAAAATTTGGCTTTTAATTGTCTCTTGGCCAAAAATTATATAAAAAAAAAATACAGTGACAGACCTTGATGGCAGATTGTATGTATCTGTGACCTTCTCAAGAAAGAATAGGCCAACAATAAATGCTGCTGTAAACCTGTATTACACAGTGACGTTTTTTAGAATGAAGAGGCAGTTGGTGCAGTAGGAATGGATTATCCATTGGGCGTTTTCTTCTCATTTGATGCAGCATCCAGATTTAGATGAAGTAAATTTTGAATGAGAATTGAAGAATATTTTTCTTCCTTTTCACTGATATGACATGAGCAATATATTATGTTTGACAACTTTACGAGAATATAATTTATATTTTGTATTTAACTAAAGCAGAATTTCTTTTTCATACAATTAACTATGCTGACATAGCTAATTCCCGTATTCTTCTTTTCTTTTCCTAAATTCAAAGAAGAAATTGTCTTTAGTATTATTTATTCAGTGTTATAAAATGGCTCAGTCAGACGATAAATGGCATGCTTCTTAGCAATTTTTTCAACTAGTTTGGCAACCAAGAGGCAACTTTCCTTTGTAGGGAACGATTGTCATAAATTGTAATATTTTTACCTGGTTTGCAACACATTGAACACTTATCAGTAGAGGTATTCCATACATCTTGACACAAGAACAGATGGATTATTTTGTAATCTTTCCGATTTAATTGACTGCAAGTCAAACCATGTATATTTAATTATTTCCAAAAATTTGTCTGTAGGCATTATTTCACTAAAGAACTTTGCTCCCCAAGATTCAGACCATAATTCAAATACTTTCGGCAAGTTCATTGACAAATTCAAAGTCTTTTGGCACCCAAAATACCACGAGCATAAAATATAGAAATAAAAATATCCAGCTCTTCAAATCACAAACTCCAGTTTAGATTTCCCGACTTTAACATATTTCGGCTTTTCTGCATTGTTGTATATGACGCTGTATTTTTCTGTTGCTAAAAAAGTCTCCATGTGCTGCTTGTATTCCTACCTATTACTTTTCTCTTACCAAAAACAGTTGGCTCACAGGTTTCACACAAAACATTTTGAAGTGGAAGTCTTCCAAGAGAATTTGATCTAACAATTTGCTTTTTCTACACAGTACTGCCATGTGCCTTTTCTTTGTCTTTTGATTGATTTTCATCATTTTTTAAAAAACATCTAATTTGTCCTTGCTTTCTGGACTATGGCTTTTTTATGCCTTAGAACCACAGACCATTTTGTTGTCATTATCTATAAATTCTCGTTCAAGTCTAAATCTTGACCTCTGTACTTTTGTTTTGTTAGAACTTTGTTAGAACTTTATTTTTAAAATCTCTCCAGTATAGAAATTATGACGGAATTTTTCTTCCTTGGAACCAGATGATGAAATGTTTGGCATTTTTCTTTCGAAGAAATAATAGAATTGTCATTTGATGAATTGGATTCATTGTTGTTGTAGTTGGAATAGTGCAGTCTTCATCAGATGAAATAAAATAAATTTCTATGTTCAATTCTTCATGAGAAGTAATTTCCAAAGCAGAATTATTATTGGATATGTCTTGTAAAGCATTTAATATTTCTTTTTCTGATAAATATTTCCTTTCAGTGGGTCTACCAGAGATGATCAACATAGAAAAATTTATAGATTAGAAAAAGTGATCAGAAACCTCAAAACAATTACAAATCAAATGAATAGTGCTGCCGGGCACAGAACAAGATGAAGAATTTATTAAAACAATTAGACAGAAAAACAGAAAATTCTTTTGGGAACCACTTTAGGATGGGGAAGCCTCAGTTCGGTTCCAAGCAGCTGTCGAATAACATCTGACGTGAAAATAAAAAGAAAACCTAAACAAATGGTTTCAAGATGCTAATATAATAATCTGCATGAATGTTCTATTAAATAGGGAAGAAGGACAATCAAAATGGCCACTAGCCATAAGTCTAGGTATATAGTTATATTTAAAACAATAATCAATTAAAGCAGACCAAATAAATGATTTGTCACCTTGATATATATTTAGAAAAAGAAAGAAAGTTTTTTGGAAAACAAACTTGCAAAGAATTTAATCAGTCAGTTAATTTAATTATTTGAATTTATTTTATTATAAAATTTGAAGTGAAATTAGTTTATTATAAGAGGATTTTAAATTTTTTTAGGTTAAAAGATGTAGCAGAAAGAACTAATCGTTGTGGATATAGTGTTCCATCTGTTCTTGCACAGTTAAAAAATGCATCAGTTAGGCAGTGTGTGGTTGGACCTATGCATGTTGCCTTTCTCCTAGAAGTAAGTTTTAATGTTTTTGATTTGCTGTTGCATAGGATATGATGTGCATTTAAGTATAATATATAAATCTCTTCAGAATTATCTACCAATAAAAAAACATTAAAAGGAACTTACTTTGAACATTTTGCTTAATAGATAAATTTAAAAATAATTTTTCTTGAAAGAAGGTTAAATTATTTTGGATATGCAGCTTTTTGTTTTCATTATATTCATGAACTGACAATTTGGTATTTTGCAAGATTTTTTAATTTGTAGCAGGAATATTTCAGAACTTACTATTGAAATGTTTTTCTTTGTAAGTTACATTTTCCTAAATATATATTAGTAAAGCACACATAATGTATTTTCTGTATGTGCATTCAAATCTATTTGAAATAGAAATATGTTAATATCTTTAGGGCAAGGTTATTTCTTCATGATAAGTATTTTTTAATTTTGTAAATACTCTGAATTCTGAATAATGCAGAAATTCACTAATTGAGGTCTTTGACATCACAAGTGCCCATGTTGAGAAAATAAATGAACACAGATTGCTTTATTCTGTCTTTTCTGACAGTGTTTTCTAGTTGGCTTTATCATTGTCCATAATATGAAATCATCTTAAGAACATTCTTTGCCATAAAAAGTTAATTCTTCAGATGTTGATTTTTCATCTGACTACTGTATTTATCATGAAAATTAATATTCTAAAATTTAATAATAATGTTGGCCATTAAATAATGTTCAAGTTTATTTCAGTTCTATGCACATATTCATAGTGAGAAATTTCAACTTGTTATGCTATAAACTGTTGTATGTATCTCGGCACCCTTTGTAACAAGATTTGTAATGGGCCATGCTCCCTTCCTGGAGTACTTCTGTAAAATAGGATTTGTCTCATCTAAACTTTGTGTGTGTGGTGAGGCTGCTACTCTTGATCATTACATAATAGCTGCCCTCTCACAGAGGCATGACACTCGCAGCTGCCATTTGATGATGCACCATTCATCTGCTTCTTCATTAAGCAGCTTGCTCTGCTGAGAAAACTCAAACTCAATAATGAAAAAATTGCAGACTTTGTCCTGTCACTTAGTGCACTACTGATTCCTGCCTAATCTTCAGTAGTAACCATCCCACTCCTAGATGTCTCATTGTATGGTACTAGTGCTCTTGTGCAGCATGTTAGTGTGCTATTTAGTGTATGTGTGATAGAACCCTGTACATGAATACTAACATATCCACAGCAACTATATATGTAAAATGCACCAAGGTAACTTATGTGTGTATTTTATGTATACAGTCAAAAGTCGTTAATTCGGACACCCATAATCCGGACCTCAAAGCTAAAAACTTTCTGCGTGTGCGCCGCGTTTTACACATGCACACAGGCGTTTTACGCGTGCGTGTAAGACCTTGACTACTGCGCATATGCATGTGCGCAAGTGCAGAATACGTTTTCAACTGCGTGTTTAATGTATAACGGACAGTGTAAGCTAAAATTATCTAATTATCTATTTCAGTTAATGTTAATGATTGCGTTGTTCCTTAATCTTCGAATTGGATCCGGCTTATTATTTTTTGCAGACTGTAAGAGCAATTTTATAAAAGTAAACTTGAACTTTCGATTATTTCAAATAGAATTTCCGATGCTGGAACTTCCAAAGGATCTACAAAACAAAAGTATGTTTCGATGTCCAACAAACAAAAAGTGGAATTGCTGCAAAAAATAGATAAAGACATGAAGAATGTGACAGAAAGGTTAGTGAAAACGAAAAAATTTCGATTGACAAGTTAGTCGGTATTCTCGGCACAACAATTAACGGGACTTGAACAGCGGAACTTTGTAACTGAACAAGAAATTGTGTCTGTTTATAGAATGAAAGAGAAAGTATTATCACATAAAACGAAGCAACTTAAAACAACTTGAATTGAAAGAAAAGTTTAATAAAGTAAATAAATAAATATTAAGCTTTTTTTTTTTTTTTTTTTTTTGTAAATTTTGATACCCTTTAGATCATAATTTTTCTTTATATCATAAATTACGGTTTCATATTTTTAATTTTTAGAATTTCTGCATGCCATCTTACGAGATTTAAACTGATGATCTATAATCCGGAAAAATCGATAATCCGGAATCGCCGAAGTCCCGACGAGTCCGCATTAACGACTTTTGACTGTATATATATATGTGTGTGTGTGTATGTATGTATCATTGTAGAAGTGGCCTATATTCGAGAGTAAAATGTTAACTATTAGTGTGGAATGTTTATGTACGCATGTCTGCAACAACGTATGCATGTGTAGAACAAATATTCCCAGTGTTTAAACCTAGGTGCACATAAATGTACCAAGATAATGTTTAATTATTAATGCATAATATTTATATAAAAGCTGCGGTGTGTGCATCAGTATACAATTATTGTATTGTGTAAAATATTCAAATACAGTCAAAAGTCGTTAATCCGGACTTGTCGGGACTTCGGCGATTCCGGATTATCGATTTTTTCGGATTATAGATCATCAGTTTAAATCTGGTAAGATGGCATGCAGAAATTATAAAATTAAGAATATGAAACCGTAATTTATGAAATAAAGAAAATTATGATCTAAAGGGTATCAAAATTTACAAAAAAAAAAAAAAAAAAGCTTAATATTTATTTGTTTACTTTATTAAACATTTCTTTCAATGTAAGTTGTTTAAGTTGCTTCGTTTTATGTGATAATACTTTCTCTTTAATTCTATAAACAAACATAATTTCTTGTTCAGTTACAAAGTTCCGCTGTTCAAGTCCTATAATTGCTGTGTCGAGAATACCGACTAATTTGTCAATCGAAATTTTTTCGTTTTCAATAACCTCTGTGTCACTTTCTTCACTATTGGAAGCGAATTATAATGACGAGGAATTTGATTTAAATCATATCAAAGACGGAGTACATCGAGATGAAATACTACATTTAGTAAGGAATTATAAGCCAAATAAAATAAAAGCATCTGCCTTGAAGATAAGGATAGTGCTGACAGATACTCTTCCAATTCACTGCGTGCCGCGGCGTCCCCCCCCCCCCCCCGCACCACAGAGCAGCGTGAAATTGATAAACAGATTTCGGAATGGTTAGAGAAACAAAGGATATACCTTTATCCATTTTTTGCAGCAATTCCACTTTTTGTTTAATGGACTTCAAAACATACTTTTGCTTTGTAGATCCTTTACATATTAGTAAATATATATCAGAAATTCTATTTGACATAATCAAAAGTTCAAGCTTACTTTTATAAAATTACTCTAACAGTCTGCAAAAAATAATAAGCCGGATTCAATTCGAAGATTAAGGAACAACGCAATCTTCAACATTAACTGAATTAAATAATTTTAGCTTAGCTTATACCGTCCATTATACATTAAACGCGCACGCGTAAACGTATTACGCGCATGCGCACACGCATATTCGCTGCCGTAAAGGTCTTACGCGGACGCATGCGAAGAAATTTTGTAGCTTTGAGGTCTGGATTATAGATCATTCCGGATTATGGGTGTCCGAATTAACGACTTTTGACTGTATCAGTTTAAAATGCTCAAATTTCAGTATACAGCACCTACAAAAGTTTTTAATCAGCTCCTGATGCCACACTTCTGGGGCGCCAAAGAGTTCTCGTGTTGTACAGTTGCAGATTTTGGACGATACCCGAATAGTCCTAGTAAGCCGGCCGGATGTCCAGATCTGTTCTCACTTGTATATGTAGAAACATAGAAAATGTTCTGCATAAAGATCATATTGTTGCATTAAAATAAAGATCTAGGATTAATCTTAGTCAAGTTTCATTAGGATTAAAAAATTATATGCACTTGTTACTAAGAAAGTAAAAAATGTTATATTTAACAAAATGCAGAGGAAAGTAATTGATGCACAAATTTTGTAGCTAATGTAAGTTCTGTATAACTGCAGTCGTGTTATATATTTAGATGTACATACATGTGTAAGGATCACTTCAGTATTTAGTAAATCCTCCACGAGCTGGGATCACAACCTTGCAGCAGTCAGGCATAGAAGATATCAACTTTTGAATATAATCCTAGCCAGTTTCATGGATACAAACTGTAATAATGCTTTCCTACAGCTTAATCTTAGTAGCAAGATTCTTGGCAGAAATTTTAGTACTTATTATATGCCAATAATTTTTAGTGAGATTCAGATCAAGGCCATTTCCTTGCCAGTCCAAAATTTTAATACTAGGTTTTGTCAGATAGGCATGCACTTAAAAGGACGAAATGGAGAAAAATGACTTTTGTAATATCCAAAAATATTTTTGCAATTTCCAGTAAAATGATCCCGATAACTGTGTTTAAACATTCCTGCAAGATGTGGGTATAAATTGATGTATTCATAATTCTAGTAACAAATTTCAGGTATCCAATCCCTTTAATGGATGTGCATTGTCAGACCATTTGACTCATTGGTAATTTTGCAGTAGGCAATATGCAGTTTGAATGATAAGCTTCACGTTTACATCTCCGAGCAAATAGCTTACTGTCTGATCTATGTAGTTTGGATTTAGATACATCCGAAAATGTTATTCAGTCCCATGGAACTTTTGTCTGTGAGTAGTGATGAGTCGGTACTACCGAACCGGGTATTTTGTAACAGGTACTTAGTCGTAACGGGTACTGAAAATCGGTACATCCAAGTACCCATTACTTCAGTACTGAAATCGGTACTTTTCGGTATTCGTTACTTCTGTACCGAAACGGGCACTTTTTGGTAGTCGTTATTCCTGTATCAAAATGGCTACTTTTCGGTATTCGTTACTTCTGTACTGAAACGGGTACTTTTTGGTGTTCGTTACTTCTGTACCGAAACGGGTGCTTTTCGGTATTTGCTCCTTTGTAACGAAAATATGCGTCTCTTCTCGGTATTTCGGTATTCAATACTGGAGGATGATTCGATGAGGGTTCAGTTCACTTCGGTTTTGGTACGAGGACAGTAGTATCTGGTTGTATTTGCGAAAAGGTGATATGCGCTCC